AGTAGACATTCAATAGGTGGCCGCAGTAGTAGACTCTTCGGTCTCCTGATCAGTCGCCGTGCGCTGTGCGGGTTCGAGTCCCATCCCAGGAGAAATTTTTCTCTTGGTTATGGATGTTGTGATTGTCCGTAGGTGGTAGACGGTCTCTGACTGTCGAACGCGGAGGTGCGACCCGGCGGATCTCGTAAGCGGAGCCAGAATGTGGGCATGTTGCATGCACATGTGTTCCCTCGCCAGAGTCTGTGTGGCGTTCCTCCTTTCCCATGTATCCCCCTATAGCCCCACGGTACCCAATGGGTGATTAGGCCTTAGGCCTTCGTGGTAGATGTAGTATAAAAAAAAGGTGTGTTTACTCATTATGCATTTTAAGTTTCTTAGAGCAATAAATGCTGAATTCATTTTTTTGCTACATACTCTATGTGGTCTTTCCAACTCAAATAGGCAACAGCGACAGTGACAGACTGGGCGCTCTGGTGTAAGGGCGTAGCGTACGTCAAGTGCGATCTAGCTGTGACATGTCCCTTTGATGTTTCTCCAGGCTTTAAATACAAATGTGCGGTCAAATTCATGATGTATGACATTTTGTTTATACTCCAACTACCACGAAGGCCTAAGGCCTAGACACACATTGGGTACCGTGGGGCGTATTAATTGGTACGCAGAATCTGTAGAGTTGAGTATACTGTTAAAAAAACCCAATTTTTATTCCCTTAAAAAAATATGATAATAATCAGGATTCTCTGAAACTTCGGTAAACGACATTTGACCCATTTAATTTTTTTTGTTTTTTGCCTCTCGCTCCACCGCCACTGGACCTCCTTCCAAAACTAACACAGCTTTTTCGTCCTTGGAATAGTAGTAACACTGTGTGGAAGTTTAACCAAAAGCGTTAGCGGCAAGACAGATAGACGGTTAGACAGACAGGCAAACGGACAGACAGATAGACAGACCGACGGAAATATGTGAAATTATTTTTCGTGATCTATATGTCACCTAGCATCCAAAAACATAGTATCTCAATTTGGCGATTAGAATGCTTCCTCCCCAGTTGGCGTTCCTGTTTCATATTTCTTCCCTGAACGTTTTATCTTCTAACATTTTTAAAGTTTTGTAAAGTACACGACCACTATCTGTAAACCTCTTCTGCAATTCGTAAGTCTGTTCATGACTTCCTTTTGTAGCAGAAGGCAACAATAGCGCTGTAGCAATTCCAAAGCTGTGTAGGAAACACACACTTGTACAATTGCCCAAAGAGAATCGTTTGAAAGCTACCCGAAACTATTTCTTTTCCCGTTACCTGCTTTCCGTTTGTATTAGTTTTATGTAAATCAATGGCTTGGCCGAGTTTCCAACTACAATATCCCAACGGTAACTTTCCTTCCTTTTTTGCTTCCTTTTATATCCGAATTGCATATTTTGTTTCGGCTATTGGAATTTTATTGCTTTTGCATGCTTCCCGGAAAGTGCCCGGATTTTGTTTGGTTTTACTTTACATAAATATTTTGTTTCTTGCCGGCAGATACCCCATGCTCCTATATGTCATGGAATCGGTAGACTTTTTCTCTATCCTTCTTATTGAATTGTCCACGGAGAGTTTCTGATGCTTCGGAGATGACATCACTGCGTCTTGCCGGTAAAGACGCAATAATACATATTTCATGCAACCATTCCACTCTTTCTTGCACTGACTTACTCACGAAGATAACCTTAAACGTGCCTCCTGGGTAAACTCGACTACAGTTGATGAGTTCCCCTCTTCATCATTCAATGAGCCGTATTCATAAAAGAGAAGCATATCCTCGGAAGCATAAGGTAAAAGTATAAGGTCTTGCTTCGGAGAAAAAGGTAGAAGTATAAGCATGTCCTTGTTTTCATATTCATAATGATTACCTTATACTCGCGAGGATATCCTCTAAGAAGAAGCATGGTATTTGTATCTTGAGCGATGTGTCCTGACTTGTTCCTGCTTGTAATTGACGTGGGAGTTCGTTCACTCAGCATCACTGACAGTTGTACTCCAGAGCTTACACAGACCGTTCCGTATTTTTACTGGATACAGTTTTTTTTTTCAAATTAATAAGCATGTCACCCTCGAGTGATGAGGAAACTATATAAAATAATGGCAACGGCCTGCAGTTCATCGCAGATGAAATTGCCATTACTCCCATTATTTTGCAAAAGTCACGAGTTCCAAAAATCAAAATGAGAAAGGACGATGCCTTGAAGAAGATGTTGAAAAAATACGAATCAGCATTCGGTAAACCATTAGATACTAAAGGCTAATCAAAAAATCAACAACGTGAAATCAAGATTGAAGAAAAAACAGATCTACAAAAAACTGGTAATAATTCAATTTGCTACAAATAACTACTCTTGTGTTTTTCTGGAGTGCATTATTTTCGTGAAAATAAAAATAAAACAAATTAGATCATTCATGAAGAGATACAATTAGTTTCAAAATAAAATAGGAGGCCTGATACCTACTTGACGTTTCTTGAGAGTCTGTCAAAGTCATGTGTTATACGGTTGTTATCGTTACTACTACAATTTTTTTTTGTAAAAGCGAAGTCGAACGCTTCTTTTTTCCATTTTTGAGTCTCGTGAAATAGAATTTAGCAATGATGAGTACGCAGATATTATTCTGTAATGGAAATGTTTTGGCGGCTTTTCGGGAGTACCAACGTAGATTTCCCATTAGACGCCAACGTATCCCAAAGGTTTTTCGCGTTTATTTCTAAGACTTCGGCAGTATGGAATTGCCAAACTACCCAGAATTAGAGGCCATGGTGTCCGGCATACTGTTCAAAATGAACTGGAAGTGATTAATTTGGCGTTGGATGATCCTAGTACAAGTACTAGGCGGATTGCAGCCCAATTACCATGTTCCCAAAGTCTTCCGTGGATAATTTTAAGTCGGTACGTTTTTCATCCTTACCATCGGCAAAATGTGCAATGTCTGCAACCCGGCGACGAAGTGCAAAGGCGAAATTTTTGTGAGTGGTTACTGCAAATGCATAATCAAAATGCAGATTTTATTGATTTGGTTTTGTGGTCAGGAGTCGCTTTTTACGAGGAGTGGAATCTTTAATTCTTTTGATGAACTTATTTCTTCATTAGAAAATCTCCGTTCTCTAAGAATCCACTCGTTTCAACACGGTTTTTCTAGAAATGTCTGGTGCGGCATTTTCAATGACCAACTGTTTATGCACGTATTGCCGCAACGTTTTAATGCAAACTCGTATTTAGCTTTTCTAAAGAATTATATAGAAAATGTGTTAGATGATGTTCCGCTACCAACGAGAGTGTTAATGTGATATCAGCACTACTGTACCCCCCCCCCCCAAATGGACGTATACATGGGCCTGAAAGGCCTCCCGATTTGAACCCCCTGGATTTGTTTTTGTGGAGCGCTTTTAAACAACTAGTGTATGCTTAACAAATTAATACTGTTTTATCAAATTCAAGTGAGATCAAATTTTATGGAAATACGTGTTTGTTTATTAAGAAGGTGCCGCACTTGTATCCGTCGGAATGGTGGTCTTTTTGAGAATTTATTGAAATAAAGCTTTGATTACATTATCTAATTTGTTTTTTCTTATTTTTACGAAAACAATGCATTCTAGGAAAAAAACACAAGGGTAATTATTTGTAGCAAATTGATGGTAAAATTTCAAAACTTGCGCGTTTCGAAAAAAAAGATAGTGGCGTACTATTTTTATTCGGATTAATAACGACTCTATCCCCTGTATCTCCGTCACTGCTGCACGTTAATTTTAAGTAAAGGTTTTTGAATGTGGACAATACTTAGATAAATCCACGTACCAAATTTTAGTTCATTCCATTTTGACGACTTTGAAGATATTAAAAAAAGTTATTTTTTATTTTTAAACTTCAACACTCCATATCTTTTTAATGAAGCACTCAAAGAAAAATTGTTAAATGTAAGTTTCCCCTTAAAATGCGGTGTTGTATATGATGTTTCTTTTTTTGTTCAAGACTTGTGATTCACCCTGTATAAAGTCGGCAGAAAGTTTCCAGCAATCGAACCTCTAAAACTGCATTACTTCCTATACCATTGGCAAGGAAATATTGTATTTGTGATCGCGCGAAGTTTCGAAAATGGGCTATCATGTTTTTGAAGCTACCAAGGATGAAAAAGCTATATAGTTTTTGAAAATTTATTCAGTGACGGCGGAACTACAGGCAAAAGGCAAAGATCGTCGAATCTTCGTTTTTTTACAATTCAGATGACTGATCATTTTCGAAAAATATATTGGAGCTTAAACATTTTTTTGGAATGGGGGGTTGTAGAGGTGTGGGGGGTTATATCTCAATTCTTTGTCGTTAATGTACTCGGTAATTCTACGCATCTATTGGACATACTTCACTCGTCATAGATTTCCCCGTACATTTTTCCTTAGAGTTATGGGTAGCATAATGGCTCAGGAGGCCAAATCCTAAATAGCACCACAGTTGTACAGAAAAGCATGCCGAATATGCAAATTTTGATAGCATGTACCTGTTTGACTAACTTGATTAATGTTATTACTTTTTTATACATATGTATGGGATGAGATTTTGATTACATATATAACGGGTGTGGGGTTAAACAAAACATTACAAAATCTACTATTATTTGTACATGAATTTATTATTCCATTCTTTTTTGTTTAAATCAAGTTTCTTAGCTTCTCTCCAACCCGTTCCCCTTTTCATCAATATCTGTTCTCTGGTATTCTCCGTTGTTATTTTTTCTCTTTCTCTTTTCACCGGTATGTTGTCACCCATTCTTTGCAAATGTCCCCACCACCTCAGCTGCTTCATTTCTGTGTTCTAGTATAGATTCTGTCTCTAGCTCCGTTCTTATAGTCTCGTTTCTTATTTTGTCCATTTTGGTTACTCCTTATTTGTTATAGGGTAGATAAAAAATAAACAACATATCTTTTTCAGTCAAGATTAGTATCTTGATACTTTGGTTGCATATTACAGATTCATTTGGTACAGACTTTCGTAAAGTAACTAATCAAATAGTATCCTTAAATTCAATTCTACGAAATCCTTATTAAATCCCCATTGTGCCCCACGGTAGGGGCAGTACAGGGTACATAGTTATATTGCTTCACAGTATAAGTAGATATGGATTTCTTTCGAATTTTTGTGGTCAATTCCAGCACAGGCTGTATGAGACCAACGTTCACACAGCTAGCAGGCCACCCAATTCTCTGCAGACTTCAAGTAACTATGGTTCTCGTCAACGCAATAGAGGCATAAGATATCCTCGTCCACTTTGTCTACGTCCTTCTTCTTCTGTTTCTTCGCATTTCTCTTTAAATGGGGATCATTAGGATTTGGACACTTCTTCGTCTATTTAAGATTTTCACGTTCTTTCAACTCATTTTTGCAGGGGGTTGAAGTGAGAACAACAGTTTTCCCTCTGCGATAATTTTTCCTCCTTTGGTTTCTTTGTTCGACTGTTGGGTTCGCGAGAATGTCCTTGGGAGAAGCATTTTCAAAGGAAGTTGTTAAGTCACGACATACTCTTCGAATTGGAGATCGGATCACACTGTCTTCGTTTCGTATATATGGTCCAGGCTGCGGACTTCGCATAGGAGTTTTCTGATGTGGTGGCGTAGCTAGAGGCAAAACTTGTTCAAGTGGGTGCTCTTTAAGGGAAAGCGCTGGATATTGCTGGATTTCAGCAGATGAAGCACCTGTCTCAGGCTCGCTATTTCTCAGCAGTACGTCTGTTGTTGATGCAACTAAAAAATCTGATTCTGTGAAGTTGCTTTGATTGAATGGCCATATGCCACATTTTTTGAATGCATTGATCGCTGTAGCCATTGTTGCAGCTTGAATATATGCCTGTGCAAAGATTTCGCTTATTTGAAAAGTTGTTATTATTCGCCCCGGATGCGACCTTAACCAGTTAGAACAAGCTTGGTCATAATATTATACACTCAGAGGTTTCATAAATCCAACATCCAAAGGTTGGAGCCTGTGGGTGCAGTGAGGGGGAAAGCAAAGCATTACAACTCCATTCTTACGTGCACTGTCAATAACCTCAAAGCTTTGTGTGTGCGTTACATGACCATCTAGAAGCAGCAAGACCGGGTTAGTTATTGACGCACCAGAAAACTTGACGAACCGTTGGAACCACGTCATAAATGTCTCAGTAGTCATCCAGCCTCGAGCATTGCATTCTGCCGTCGTTCCTGGAGGAGCGTGATCCAATAACTCCTGCTTCATTCCCTGTCGAGGAAATATCAGCATGGGAGGCATGTAAGTTCCAGCTGCATTAAAACATATTTCAACGGTGACCGTCTGCCCTCGTTCTGCTGAAGAAGTGAGCCTACCTGTTTCCTTCCCTTTTCTGCAATTATTTTGCTCTTTGTTTTGGAGACACATGATATGCGAGTCTCATCACAATTATATATCCTATCTGGATTATATTTATCATATATTTCCCCGAGCAAAGAATAAAATTTATCCACTGCCACTTTATTGAACCCCATTGCCCGAGCTGCTGATGTGGCTGCTGGTTTGCGGATGGATAAATCTGGATGACGTTTCATGAATCCTTTCAACCAATCTACGCCAGCCATCATTTTATCATGGTTAAAATTATGAGCTTTAGAATTTTTCTCCGCCAACTGATAAGCCAGCTTTCGTAGGACGACAGTGGTTAATCCGAACAGACGTTTCTTCATTTCTTTAATATACCTCACGAGCTCATCTTCTTCTTTTTTGGAAAATACGGGTTTAAAGTTACCTGGAGTGGAGTTGAGGGACACCTCGCTCTTTCGTGTTTTGACGACATAACGCTCCAATGTAGTTTGTGGAACACCGTAGAGTTGAGATGCTTTTCTGTAGCCCATTGTTTTGCTCAAAACTGCAACAATTGCTTGTTTCATGCTTTCTTTAGACCAACTGCCTCTGGAACTTTTCTTTTTGTACGTACGTACCATTTTTCATCTGAAACAAAATTCTATTCACAAATAAACAGATTATTCAAACAGCTTACATAACAGGGGCATAATGGGGACAACAGTGACGAGGCACAATATGGTACCCCATTGTACCTCATCACCACAACCCCGTTATGCCCCCATGTGTAACATTCTTTTTAATTTCGAACAAACAAAAAAAATTGGTAGTTACAGAGATGTTTTCCAAAACATATCAACAATTGATGTCTCTTAAAAATACAACACAAAATCGATGGTATTGCTCTGAACACTTACCTTTTTATATGCGTTTTTGTAACCGCTTAAAGTTAGATGAAATGACACCGAAAACAATTATAGGTTATAAAACAAAAGCGCGCGCAGCCAAGTCGCCGGATACTGTCAGATTGAAGAGTGATGCAACATGGTCGGCTGTGGGCGGTGACACACACGTGTGCGTAGTTATCTAGATTCAGATATGTTGATGGCCCCGTCGTGTCCCGCGTCACCATTATGCCCCCCCCCCCCCTTCCCCTACATGTTCGTAGCTTTTTCCTCATAGGGGCCAACTTTCTTCATTAACTCATGACACGCGTCACGTAGGAAGTGCCGTTCATACGTAAAAAACCCACTGCATATTTATAAAAATAATCTTGAAGTTAATTTGAAAACCTTCAAAACGGCGGTTAAAACTACCTGATAAGTTGACATGTCGCAGACAAATTCGTTGTAGAATGTTGAAATTAACTTATTGAGAGGTAAGCAGTAAAAGTAACAATGTTGGTGAACGAATTTAGCTCTACCCGGAAGAGGTATCACAATGAGTGCTTAAGATTGTAATTTTTTATCCTACACCTCCTTTCATTGCAACAGCCTCGTCCTGTATAAAAATGCAGCGCAAAAAAAGGGCGAGATTTAACGGTACTTACTAAGTATTAATTATTCTATTAGTAATATCTCTTTCGCTCGTCCGACTACAGACGGCCAACCATAGACAGCTGTCTCGTGTTATATGGCAGCTCATCAGCCTGGTATAGGCTTGGTCTCAGCTAGGGCAATGAGCGAAAATTGAGCAACTACCCTCCATCCAGGATATAATGTTTATCAAAATACCCGTCAGACAGCACAAAGCTAGAGCAAGGAAAACTACACTGCTATTTTGTTCAATGGCGGGACCGTATCTACTATACCCCCAGGGATACAGTTCCAACAGCTTGCTATTTCCACTCTCCCAGTGGTCGATCCTGGTAATAAATGGTACTATGTGCTGTCTAATTTCAATCAACTCCTCTGTGATGCAATATGATAATCCGACAGAACACTTCTTCTTTTTTCGCGGTGTGCATCCTCAGAAGCCGTTGTAGCTTCACTCTTATCCCGAGATTCCATCTATAGCTTCGTCAGGGTAGAAAGAGCTTTAGCTTGTCGCTGTCACCAACCTTTTGAGGATGTTAGTTTTCTTAGAGGCCACGACACGCACAGTTGCGTCACATTTACGAAAAAAATTATAATAACTTTGACTCCTATACTTGCAAAGTGTATCTCACAAATGCTTCATTTCGTTGACAACAAATTGGACAAGCAAATATTGGACGGTTTTGTTCTCTCTGTTTGCAACGATCAAATGTCTTGTAACAAGTCTTGGGCAAGAAACAAGCGCACTTGCATTAATTGCGAAACAAAGGCTACCACCAGGAATACTAGAGATAGTAGGTGAAGGATACACGTATTCATACGAAGCCAATTCTTTCGCGTAGGATGTTGTGGCGCTCGGAAATCAAATTGAAACATGAAAAGATAATCTGCCGCAATCTTTATTTGCATTTCATTCACGTTTTGCCATGCCTTGTATGGTTTATTGCTTCGGGGCTTATTGATACAAGCCAATATTCATGCTTGCAACTTCAAAATTGGAGTTGTTTACAGTCATGGTGACATCAACTGAGAGAAATGCCACATGCACAGAATCTGAAGTTTATCTTCTGCGCAGTGTACACACGAGAGAGATGCTCTATGCGCAGCACCTAAAACGCACCCGCTGCGCAGTGTACCAAATCACTGCAACGTCGACATGTTTGGCTTCACCCCCACTCCATGGACTCAACCTCCTATCTCTAGTCTTCAGGCTACTAGCCACGTGTTATAATAATATAATAATAATTTATTCGGTATCCATTTTTACATTTGCGTGATCATGTAACATAAAATACTCCAATACATTCCTTGTGCGTGGGTGGAAATTGCTAACTAACAATATGCAAAAAGGTATGCTGAACATAGCTGAGTTTTAATTATAACACTGATCAACAGCCAAAAAATATCCTAAATAAAATCAACAAAATATTACTATTTTTAATGTGCTAAAACCGGAATGAAACTTATTTTTTCAATATTAGTTCAAGTTTTAGAGATACGGTAATTATATGTGTTCCTGCTGTGACAGTGTTAATATACTGTAATTCACAAGAATGCACGTGCTACATTTTTATATTCGGCAAGGAAAGATGATGTAATCGGCATGATTGTGTTACGTTATACATACGTGTACATCATATTGTTTTATATTAGCCATTTTTTCCTCAGTTGGCTGTCCCAATGGTTTGGAGAGAGCCTACAAATCATATTAATGATTGTTACTTTTGCATGGTACATTGTGTTGGACAAGCCACAGGTATGTCCAGGAAAAAAAAATCGGTTATTAACTATCCAAACATACCATCTGCGATGAGACCTGTGCCTCACAGTGACGAAAATCCTATTCCAAAACCCCCAGAATCCTACACTTGCGAATCAGAAAACGAATCAGATCATGGCGATCGAGTGATTCGTCATGAAGAAGATATGCCATCAACGTCAAGAGATCCTGATTTTATACCGAGCACGTCATGCCACCAACCGCACAAAATAACACAGTCAGAATTAAATGATCTTGTAAGAGATTTAGAACTTCCAAAATGTAAGGCAGAGTTACTTGGATCAAGACTGCAGCAGTGGAACTTGTTAGAAGACGATGTTTCGGTATGTGTTTTTCGTAAACGCCACAAAGACATTTTTCAATATGGCGAATAACTTGGTTTTCATCCAGTAACATTAACGGCTTACTGGCGGCTTTAAATATAAACTATAACCCAGAAGAATGGAGATTGTTTATAGACAGTTCAACATTGAGTTTAAAGGCAGTGTTATTGCATATTGGAAATATTCTACCATCTTTTCCTGTAGGGTATGCAGTTCACATGAAAGAATCATATGACAATATGAAGTACCTATTGAAATGCATAAAATACGATGAGCACCAATGGCATATTTGTGGCGATTTGAAAGTTGTTGCACTTTTACTTGGGCTGCAGCTAGGCTTCACAAAGTTTTGCTGTTTTTTGTGTGAATGGGACAGTCGGGCAAAGGCACTTCATTACAACCAGACAAAACTGGCCTGTTCGTCAATTCCTAGAGCCAGGTAAAAAAAATGTACAGCATATGCCATTAGTAGATTCGAAAAAAAATTTATTACCACCACTGCATATCAAGTTGGGCCTAATGAAAAACTTTGTCAAGGCATTAGATAGAGATGGGTCAGCTTTTCAATACTTGCGTCAGAAATTTCTAAGACTAAGTGGGGCAAAGGTTAAAGAAGGTATTTTTGTTGGGCCACAGATTCGAAATATTTTGAAAGATACACAGTTTGAAAACACTTTAACAGGTATTGAAAAAACTGCTTGGAATGATTTCCGTCTGGTGGTCACTAATTTCTTGGGAAATAGAAAAGCTGACAACTATAAAACCCTTGTCAAAAATATGCTATCATCGTATCAAAAGATGGGCTGTAATATGTCTCTTAAGATACATTTCCTACACTCACACCTGGACTTTTTTCCTGACAATTGGGGAGCCGTAAGTGATGAGCACGGCGAACGTTTTCATCAGGATATTTCAACAATGGAAAAAAGGTACCAGGGAAAGTGGAATCCTTCCATGCTTGCAGACTACTGTTGGACTCTTGGTAGAGATGCTCCAGAAACGATCCATAAAAGAACAGCAAAAAGACAGCGCATATAGTGATTCTTATAAGTATATGAATCTTGTTACTTTTTTTAATATATCCTTAAAAATAAAAAGTTTTTTTCTAAACCGCAACTAATTTTTTTATTTCATGGTCATTTTTGGATTCAGCGACCCAAAATTAACAAAGAAGTCCACTTTTCCCACAAGATACAATTAAAAAACTAAAATTTGTTGTCCAGTGATTTTCTCAATGTGGGACTTGATTTGTCTTTTTTATGTATTTTGTTTCCCTATTATTTCAGTTAGCTGTTTTTTATATCAATCGCATTATGGTAGAATGATCGATTTTTGGACAGCATCTATTTCTTTACGTCTCTTTGAATTTATCTATATTATTGCTCCTCTTCTTTATTGCTGGTGGAAGTGAATTATAAGATATTGTAGCTGAGAATACGTATGATATTATTGGAATATGTTTTTTTCAGGTACTTGTAAGTTGTCTTTGTTTCTTGTATCGTATCTATACGTGGTGTAATCTACTGTGACCTTGTTTTTGCGTTGTATTGTGATGATCTGGATGAAGCGTTCTTACAGAATGTCAAGTAGTTTAGTAACACATCATTCTGAGTTGTTGTAGATTTAGGTAATGCTTGAGGTCTCTAATTTTCTAGATAGGAAATCTCAGTTTCCTTATTACATGTTCAACGTGAGTATCCCAAGGTGTGCATCTATTTAAAACCCAAGATATTTTATATTCAAGGTCTTGTTAATCGTTTCATCACTGATACTTAGCTGTTCGTATACTGGTACGTATTTGGGATAGGATGAAAATATCAAAAAATATGTTTTTTCATAAGTAATAGTAGTGGGATCTGAACTCTATTAACAAAATCTTTCTCACACGTTACCTTTAAGTCTTCCCAATGTCTAGCTCCATGAATGATGACAGCATCACCCGCAAAACTTTTTAAATAACATCGGTCCTAAAACCGTGCCCTGAGCAATACCACATTTTACTATAAAGTGAACTGTTATAACATCCAAATATATTAGAGCATTGCTCGTTTTTCTATAGAGTGCTGAGAGAAATTGGCTGTAAAAGTGCGCAGTACTGATTCATCCAAATTCTTGTATAATAAATATGGTGAAAAGTATGGTTGTCACATACGAGCTTGAAACTCACTTTTCAGAGCGTCGGTCAATAAGATAGGAATAGCCAACATCCATATAAGACAGGCAGACATGAAAAAAGAGGATTTATTTCAAGATCCTGTACCGTTGTTTACATTTATAACGGTACTTGAACTTATACATCACCATAAGCAAAGTAACTCTAAAACAGAGCGTATAGAGCAAATAGTTTTCTGTACACTCGAATGAAAGCGAAACATTAATCTCATTACTCTGTTATCAAGTACTGAAGATCTATCTTTGTCCAGTTCGTCCTACTCTTTCTGAAACTTTTTATTACTCACTCCACGAACTGCACGCTAAAGATTATAAAAGTTCTCTGGCTTTTCTAGACACATAGACGGAGCTATATTTTCTTGAAAGATAGCTTTTGTTAGGCAATAATTTCATTCTTCGTCTAAAGTGTAAGACAGTATGACAGTATATAGTAAGAAGGGAATTTTCATTCACAGTGAAAAAGAGTCTGTCAAGTAGTCTGATTTTGCACTTCGCACACAGTGCTATGACCAGTTCATAAAGGATTA